TTGTGTGACCATCAACATGAACATACCCAAAAAGCAGGTCAATGCCATTTCCGAAACCACTCCATGAAGCTGTCACAGTATGCGAGCTTTTATCCCAGAACACTGGCGAAGAACATAGTAAAGGGGATAATGAACAATAAGAATGGGCCAATTTAAAAACCCATTTACCATCTTGACAGTCCTTCCAACACAGGACAGCCAGCACCTGAATCACCATGGCATCCAATTTTCGAACGTATGCGGCTAGACCTCCCGAAAAAAAGCATTCGATCATCGACCAATCCAATGCACGAAGTAGAAACTGTTTCCCCAAGATCGCATTGGAGTGATCAAGGCTGGCAAGGGTCTCGACCGATACATTGCTGGTGATCAAATGTGGCGTGATGAATTTCCGTTCCGACACACTATGATCCTGCATCGAGCTTCCCGATCCATAGAAGATCTAGGATGTGAAGAATGGTCCAAGATGTCAACTCAGACAGCACCGAAGGGCCCAGCCCAGTCATGTCATGATCTGTGTCTTCTTGGAAAGAAGATAGGGAAGACCCTGCCGATCGCAGCGAAGTCTGTGATTTGCCTTCAGAATGTCCCACAGTGTCAGTTGCATGTCCACAGAGCGTTGAGCAGCGAGGCTCGGGCAGCCAGGTTGATGTTCCACCCTAGACTCCTTATCCGCCACAGGTGTCAGGCCCAAAGTTCTCTCTGTGAATGAAACTGACAAAGGCACTGTTCGCAAACTCCATAGAAACTTGGGACATCCAACTGCAGAGAAGCTGGCCAAACATCTTTCCGAGATGCATGCCCAACCGCAGTTAGTGGAAGGTGCCAAAGATTATCATTGTGAATCCTGTTCCAAGAGACAGGCTCCACAAAAGTCCACTCCTGGGAACCTGAAAGACCCTCTTGAGTTCAATGAAAGAATATCCATAGATGGGTTTCATTGGAAAAGTAGTAATGGGTTATCCGTCTACATAATCCACATCCTTGGTGAAGCCACTCGTTTTCACCTTGGGTATAACGATGAGGGATAGTACCTTACTAACGAAAGGGGTTAAAGACATGTGGATCCAATGGGCCGGTATTCCAAAACAAATTACACACGATCAAGGAGGGGAATTCATAGCTGAGCCATGGAAACTTTTCCTGCAAGAAAATGCACTCCAGCCTATACTCTCCTCAGCACCATCATGGCAAAGAGGTAGGATAGAACGACATGGTGGTATAATCCAAGACATGCTTGACCGAATCGACCAGGATAACCCCATCAAAGATGTTCAGCATTTTGAGGAAGCCCTGTTTCAATGTTTTCATGCAAAGAACACCATGGCCATAATATCCGGTTACAGCGCAGAACAGGCCGTTCTCGGCAAGGCATCCAAGCTTTCTGCCTCGATCAGGTGGAATTACGAACAGCTGCCAAAACCGCATTTGCATATGCCGGCAACAGCTCAGCCATCAGGAGAGCACTCGCGTAATCCATAGTTGGTCATGCGGACAATTGTGCATGTAAGGGTTAAACGTAAGTCTCCTAATATGCTGGAAAAAGGGCGTTGGAACGGTCCGGTAGAGGTCGTTTGCTCCGAATCCAGAACCATTGCTGGATATCTAATTTGAATCGACTTTTGAGGTGTGCCCGAGAGAACTTGAGACCAGTGTCACTTCGTGAATTTCAAAGGCATTCCACGTTTGTGTTTGCGCAAACATCATCTCAGGAACAACTGCAGCAGATGGCCAGAAGACTCCAAGAACAGCTCAGCGAAAGAAGTGGACTCTTCCAGTACTATGATCTTAGTAATCTAGAACCCGAAGAAAATAACCCTGATCATGAAGATAACCATAACCCTAACCTAAGATCACAGCCAGAAGAAGAACCCAATCGAAGAATATCATCTGATCTTCAAAATCAAGAACAAGAGCGTTTAAGAGCACAAGAGAACCTGAGAGAAACCATGGAAACACCAGTTCCCGACTCTCCCATGGCATCATCATCCGCGACACCAGTTCCAGAATCTCCTATCGCCACACCATCTGTCGAGGAGAATTCAATGAATGATGAACATGCAGCTGATACAGCCAGCTTCCACACGGACCATGCCAGTGAAGCAACCGACGCTAACATGGAACCAGTATATAATTCCATTATCCGAGAAAATGCCACCATTATCATGACACTATTATCGAAGATCAAGACACTCACTGGCCAGAATCCGAGAAGATCCAAGCTGCATGCACCTCGTTCACTTTTGATATCCCCAATCAGCAGTTGCACAAGTTTCTGCGAGAAACTGAGGCTCACCTGGATTGCCTCGTGGTAGCTGCCAAGAAATCCCGCAATGAAGCAGTCTTCAGTGAACTGAACACTGAGGAAAAGAAGCTGTCCCAAGCAGCGAAGCAGAAAGAATATAACTGTTGGCTAGAAACCAAAACTGCCTCTTGATGGATACTAACGTGGAAAGAAGACCCAAATTCCCCAAACGGCGGAAAGGCCAAGGCAAGACTAGTGACTAGTGGTAAAAGGCTTTCAGGATCCAGATTCTCCAAACCATCTCAAGTAAGAAATGGGTAGTTCAATCATTTGATATAACTACGGCGTTCCTTAAGGGCAGGTCCGATGACCGTGAGTTAGCGATGGAAGCTCCAGTTGAACTCAGAAATCTCATGGGTATGAAAACACCCAAGTTTGCTTACTACAGGGAAATGCATACGAAAGGGTTGATGCCTCTCTCTTGTTCTATAGGTAAGTTCGAGAAAGACTTGAAGAAAATGGTTTAGTTTTGCGGCACATCCCCTGGATAATTGTCTCTTTCTCCTCAGAAATCCAAAAGATCCTGCAAAACTAGAGGGAATTGAACTCACGTGGACGATGGCATCGGGGGAGGAAACCAATTGTTTGAAGAAGCACTTGAAAAACTGCAAAAAACATGACCCTTTGGAACCCCAGAATTTGGAAAGTTTAAATTCACCGGTTTAGACATAGAGCAACTGCCCGATTTTTCCATAAGGTAAACCAAAGCAGATATATCCACAAAATAAGCCCAATAGGCATCCCAAAAATCAGAAGACATGATGCACTGAGTCCCATCACTAATCAAGAAATGACTTAGCTACGAGGACTCTGCGGAGGCATCCAGCATGCAGCAGTCCACTTTAGGCCTGATATTGCCACGAAAGTGGCCAACTTGCAACTGTCGAAACAATCATGGAAGGAAACCGAGTCCTTCGCGACACATCAGTTGTTGTGAGACCACTTCATTTAGAGGACGTGTGCTTGCCAGCTTTGGAGGTGCTAGCTTCGCATCGGCCGAACAACTCAGTGCCCATCAGGGCCTTATCATCATGGCATGAACCCCCAAACTTGCCCAGAATGAAACAACTGAGTTTTCCCCCATCGTCTGGCATTCTAAGCAGGTTGGTCGGGTTGTGAGATCTACACTAAGTGCCTAGGCATACTCCATGTCAAGTTCATTGGACAGGCTAACTTGGATAAGATGGATGTGGGGATTCAGCAAAAGTCCAGACTTCGCTTGGCACGGGCCAGAAAGATCACTTGAAGGGGAACATAAGGAGCTAATGATCACTGATTGTAAATCTCTTTTTGGCCTCATTGCCTCATTACCAAAAATGCAGTCCCCCACTATGAGGAATGGAGGACAACAATAGAGGTAGGTGCTCCTGAAAGAACAATCTCGAAATCACACGACATGTCGCTGGGTATCTACTGCAATCATGCTTGCTGACTGTTTGACAAATTGGACGCGACCTACTTCCGCACCGTCCTTCAACTTGGAGAGTTCGGGATTTATGACAAAGACATGACACTGAAGCAAAATGCCATCCGCAAATATGGGGTTACATGGGTAAACAAAAACATAGAAAATAAGGGATCACAATCGAAACTTTAAGATCCAGCCTTCGATTGTCCAATAGGGGTCAGAGATGTTGCAGCCTTTGAACGGCATAGCATCCGGCTCAAGGCCACGGGTGAGCAAAAGGTAGAGCGCTGTGCGCTTGATGGTTTGGGCGCTTGGATGCGCTTGGGTGAAGCTATCCTTGAAATTCCAGGTGAAATCATTTGGTGTGAGGTTGAGGACAATCTCTTGGTGATCCATGTACGGCTGAACATTTATCCCATCTTGGTTTGGGAGAACCGTCTGCTTCCTTGAGGACAAGGTCCATCATCAGGTCAGTGCTGCCAGTGTTGGTTTTGGATCGTCGGCCCTGCCACATGTATCTGTGTATGCGTGTATGAGTGTATGTATGTATGTATGTATGTATGTATGTTTGTATGTACGTACGTATGTACGTACGTATGTCTGTATCTATGTACGTATGTTTGTTTGCTTGTATGTACGTACGTACGTATGTATGTACGTATGCATGTGTGTGTGTGTATGCACGTACGTATGCACGTACGTATGTATGTATCGAAGTAATTCTAAGTATGTATGTATGTATGTATGTACGTACGTATGCATGTATGTATGTTTGTATGTAATGTAATGTAATGTAATGTAATGCAATGCAATGCAACGCAATGCAATGCAACGTATGTATGTATGTATGTTTGTTTGTATGTATGTATGCATGTATGTATGTATGTATGTCTTGTTTGTAATGCATGTAATGTATGCAATGTATGCAATGTATGTAATGAATGTATGTATGTATGTATGTATGCATGCATGCATGGGTGGATGTATGTATGTATGTATGTATGCATGTATGTATGTATGTATGTGTATGTATGTATGTATGTATGTATGTATGTATGTGTGTATGTGTGTATGTTTGTTTGTTTGTTTGTTTGTTTGTTTGTTTGTACGTACGTACGTACGTACGTATGTATGTATGTATGTATGTGCAGTATAGCTGTTAAGGTTGTAAATGATATCTTATATTCTGTAGGTTGCCACTCACATACCATCACAAGGATTGCCGTGCGCACTTGCATCCACACAAGGCCCTGCAAGTTTTGCAGCATCACGGAGCGATTGGATGGCCTCACGTTGCACGCGCTTTGGCATGCCGCCACCCTGGTCAGAGATCTTGAAAATGACATGGATGTCCTGGGCCCAGCCGTGGTGACAACCTGTGACAAGCCATTTAAATCCATCCAAGTGGTGTCTGTCCCTGCATTGCCACATTGTTTGGGCCCCTTCGCTTTTGAGGCATGCCACATGTATTTCTGCCGCCTGGTACACTAAGCCAAGAAAGCACACGTGAAAAGGTACAAGAAACTGTGACTGCCTGTCCACCGCCCATACAACCCTTGCAAACCATTAGGAATTTCTGAAGCTTGGGCCCATACCCAATTGGCTCCAAGTTTCTCCCTGCTGCAATTCAACTGCAACATGCGGCAGCGCATCTGTGGTCGTGCTCCTTGCTGTGGATTCTGGAGTCAGGCATTTGCCCATTACTTAATGGATAGGACATAATTTTTCGGCCGCCCTGAAAAGGGGCAATGAAAGATTTTGAAGTCAAACAGAGGGTATACTATCTGCTCCAATATGCCTCTAAACCCATGCGTCTTGATGGGCTATCCTTTGCACAACATTTCTAGTACTACAATGTCATACATACATACATACATACATACATTACATTACATTACATTACATTACATTACATTACATTACATACATTACATACATTACATACATTACATACATTACATAAATTACATACATACATACATACGTACGTACATACGTACATACGTACATACGTACATACGTACATACGTACATACGTACATACGTACATACGTACATACGTACATACGTACATACGTACATACGTACATACGTACATACGTACATACGTACATACGTACATACGTACATACATACACATACATACATCCATCCATCCATCCATGCATCCATGCATCCATGCATCCATACATTCACATACATACACATACATACATACATGCACGTTCATACATACATACATGCCCATACATACATACATACATACATGCATACACACATACATACACACATACATACATAAAAACAAACATACTACATACATCCACCCATGCATACATACATCCACCCATGCATACATACATCCACCCATGCATACATACATACATACATTCATTACATACATTGCATACATTACATACATTACATACATACAGACATTACATGCATTACAAATAAGACATACATACATACATACTTGCATGCATGCATACATACATACAAACATGAATACATACGTTACATACATTACATACATACATACATACATTACATTACATTACATTACATACATTACATACATTACATACATACATACATACATACATCCATCCATCCATCCATCCATGCATCCATGCACCCATGCATCCATGCATCCATGCATCCATACATTCACGTACATACACATACATACATACATACATACATACATACACACATACACACATGCACACATGCATACACACATACACACATACACACATACACGCATGCATACATACATACATACACACATACATACACACATACATACATACATACAAACAAACATACATACATACATCCACCCATGCATACATACATACATACACATGCATACACATACATACATACATACATACAGACATACACACACACATACATACATACATACATACATTACATACATTGCATTACATTGCATTCCATTACATTCCATTACATACATACATACATACATAACATACATAACATACATAACATACATAACATACATACATACATACATACCATACCATACCATACCATACCATACCATACCATACCATACCATACCATACATGCATGCATGCATGCATACATACATACATACATTACATACATTACATTACATTACATTACACTAAATTACATTACATTACATACATACCATGCATACATACATACCATACATACATTACATACATTACATTCCATTACGTTACATACATACAGACATTACATTACATTACATTCCATTCCATTCCATTCCATTCCATTACATTACATTACATACATTACATTACATTACATTACATTATATTACATACATACATAACTACATTACATACATACATACATACATACATACATTACTTAAAAACATACATACATACATACATACATACATAAATAATAACATACATACATACATACATACATGCATACATACATACATAAATACATTCCTACATAACATTACATTACATTACATTACGCTACATACATACATACTTAACATACAAAACATACAAAACATACAAAACATACATTCATACATACATACATACTCATAGATACATACATTACATACATTACATTACACTACACTACAGTACATTACATTACATTACATACATACCATACATACCATACATACCATACATACCATACATACATACATACATACCATACATACCATACATACCATACATTCCATACATACATTACATACCATACATACCATACATACCATACATATCATACATATCATACATACATTACATTTTAAAAAAAAAACTTACAAAACATACCTACATAACATAACATAACATAATATAACATTACATTACATTACATTACACAAATACATACATACATTACATACATTGCATACACTACATACATTACATACATGACATACATTACATACACTACATACATTACATGCACTACATACATACATACATTACATACATTACATTCATTACATACATTACATACATACATACATACATACATACATACAAACATACATACATACATGCATGCATGCATACATACATACATAAATACCTACATAACATAACATAACATAACATTACATTACATTACATTACATACATACAAAACATACAAAACATACAAACCATACATACATACATACAAACATACATACATACATACACGCATACATGCATGCATGCATACATAGATACACATACATGCATACATAGTTACATTCATACATGCAATGCCATGCCATGCCATACCATACCATACCATTACATTACATTACATACATTACATACATTACATACATTACATACATTACATAAATTACATACACTACATACATTACATACATTACATACATTACATACATTACATACATTACATACATTACATACATTACATACATTACATACATTACATCCATTACATCCATTACATGCATTACATGCATTACATACATGACATACATTACATACATTACATACATTACATACATTACATACCTTACATACATTGCATACATTACATACATTACATACATTACATACATTACATACATTACATACATACATACATTACATACATTACATACATTACATACATTACATACATTACATGCATTACATACATTACATAAATTACATACATTACATACATTACATACATTACATACATTACATACATTACATACATTACATACATTACATACATTACATACATTACATACATTACATACTTACATACATTACATACATTACATACATACATACATACATACATACATCCATACATCCATACATGCATACATGCATACATGCATACATGCATACATGCATACATGCATATGCATACATGCATACATGAATACATGCATCCATGCATACATGCACATACATGCACATACATTCACATACATGCACATACTTGCACATGCATACAGGCACATACATGCACATACATACATACATACATACATTACATTACGTTACATTACATACATACATACATACATTACAATCATTACATACATACATACATTACAATCATTACATACATACATACATACATACATTACATACATTATATTACATTACATTACATTACATACATTACATTACATTACACTAAACTACATTACATTACATTACATACCATTACATTACATTACATTACATGCATACATAGATACACACATACATACATACATACTTACATACATACATACACACACATACATTACATACATTACATACATTACATACATTACATACATTACATGACATTACATGATATTACATTACATTACATTACATTAAATTACATTACATTACATTAATACATACATACATACATAACATATATACATACATATCAAAAAAAAATACATACATACATACATTTACATACATTACATACATTACATACATTACATACATTACATACATTACATACATTACATACATTACATACATTACATTACACTACATTACATTACATTACATCACATTACATTACATACATACCATACATACCACACGTACCATACATACATACATACATACATACCATACATACCATACATACCATACATTCCATACATTCCATACATACATTACATTTTAAAAAAAACTTACAAAACATACCTACATAACATAAAATAACATAACATTACATTACATTACACACATACATACATACATACATACATACATTACATACATTACGTTACATTACATTACATTACATTACATACATTACATTACATTACACTACACTACATTACATTACATTACATACCATTACCTTACATTACATTACATGCAAACATAGATACACACATACATACATACATACATACTTACATACATACATACATACCATACATACCATACATACCATACATACCATACATTCCATACATTCCATACATACATTACATACATTACTTTAAAAAAAAAACTTACAAAACATACCTACATAACATAACATAACATTACATTACATTACATTACACACATACATACATACATTACATACATTACATACACTACATACATAACATAACATAACATTACATTACATTACATTACATAACATTACATTACATACATACATACATACATACATACATACAAACATACATACATACATACATACATTACATACATTACATACATTACATACACTACATACATTACATACATTACATACATTACATACATTACATACATTACATACAATACATTACATACATACATACATACATGCATGCATGCATGCATGCATACATCCATTCATACATACATACATAACATAACATTACATTACATAATATTACATACATCCATACATTACATACAAAACATACAAAACATACATACATACATACATACATACATACAAACATACATACATACATACATACATACATACATAACATACATACACATACATACATACATACATACATACATACATACATACTGTGGAATCTAGTCCAACACTGGCAGGGGACCACCTCAAGAATGCAGGTTGATGAATGATGTCCACTCCTATGGAACCCAAGCAATGATTGCCACACCAATGGCTTCACCGAGCGTCCACCCTAAGACGCTGGAAGACTACCACATGGGA